CGGTTGTATTTACGTCTGTCGTTTTTTCGGATTCTGTCCTCGCATCGACGTGATTGGCCGAAGTCGACGTCCCCTCGGGGGAGGTGTCCAAAAGTCGAAAGTGTGTTTTTTTCTTCCATGCGTGCCCTAATGCACTCGTTACCCCTGATTGGCTGACGCTCGGTCCTAACTGATGGTCAGAATCACTTCATAAAATGAAGTAAAAGTAAAAAGAAAAGACAGAAAATAGCTCTGGAAAAACACAGTAACGCAGACGGACGGACGGACGGGGTAACGGAGGACGAGGTGTAACAAAAATGAATGAAGGAGGAGAAAATAAGGAGGAGTGAGATAACGTGAAGGAGGAACATTAGAGAAGGGTAACGGTGAGGAGAAAACTGTCCTCAGAAGAGCAGTACTCAGACGTGGGGGGGCTGGAGGGGGGTGGGGTGACGACTGACATGTCTGTGAGGATTCCTGTCTTTATGCTGTTGACGCAGCGGGACAGATCAAAAGTCCTGACGCTGTCGTAACAGTAAACAACACTTTCATCTTGTTTAAGTCCAGAGCGTTTGGGCTTTTTTTTTTTTTTCTTTGTGTGTAAACCTCATCCATCACCAGCTCCTGTTACCAGGTTTGACCAATCGTCTCATCTGTCACCATCAATAACCTCTGAGCTGCTATTGGACGGTCCGATCGTGAGGCTAGTTGTGTGCGATCAGCTTTCACTGTTTGTTTGTTTTGGTTTGTGTTTGATCTTTTGGCTAAAATCATCGTCTGAAAAGCTAAAAAAAAAAACTATGAAAATCCAGATATAATCAGTTATTAATGGTTTTATGTTGAGCGTTTTCTCTGAGTTTAAACACCGTACGTTTAAATGAAGTGACCTTGGTTGACCTTAGTAGGCTAACATACGACCCCTTATTTATTTTAGCACTAATTTAGACAGTTATTCACTCACAGATGAGGATTTGATTTTGCAAAATAAAAGGATAAATATTGGTGTTGAGTGTCATTGGTGTGGAACCCCAGGGTTCACCTCCTGGGCAGGTTCGAATCCCGGTCAGGGCGGTTGGTACCTTCCAGTGGACGCACCACCTGCAGGAAGGTTTGGTACGGTGCAGTGTGATTTGGGTGGCGACTGTTGCCCCCGTGACCCGGTAACGGATAAACGGATGAAAATGGATGGATGGATAAATATTGGTGTTGATGACATTTTTTTTTTATTGCTCAGTCGTCACATTATTTCACTGATTATTGTGATTATTTTCAGTGTAGAAACGCAGTGAACAGACCTGGCAGCAGAAAGAGTCATTATCTTCAGAG